CAGTAAAATAGGTACCTGGGTGTTAGTCAGCTGTCACGGGCTGCTTCCTGGGGGTGGAGGCCTGGTCGAGGACTGGGCCGCGGGGACACTAAAAAGTCCCGAAATCATCTCAAGATAACCTCAAGATAACCGTCACCATTTTACGGGTGAAAACTCCAGACGCAAGACGACCCTCCCTGTGGTATTCAGGGAATCTTACCAATGTAGAGGCGTTGATATTACCGGGTTGTGGCATCACACACCACTCTAACTCGTCTAGTTATAATGCTCACTACGACACACCTCCTGTGTTGATTGTGCAACGCATGCTGCAAAATAGTGGTTATAGCAAAGTCTATTAACAACGGATTGGATCAGGATTCTGTGGAGGGAGTTGTATTAAAACTACTCACCGACGGGAGTATTTACCCCTTCTAGAGTAGGTGATTGGTTTTGGCATGCAGGGACGCCGCAGCGCAGCTTCCCAGAAAACATGCTCTGTCAGCGGAGTAACAGCAGATGCCAGCCCCACTGTCAGTTATCAGGACATGGAGCCCATATAAGACATGCCAGGCTGAAGAAGACCTCGCCAGTCAGTCTATCTACTGAGCTACGGACAATATCGGGCAGGGGAAGTCAGCTCAACGATTACCTCACTGAGCGAGTCGTTTGGTTACGATACCTTATACACAAGTTCACGTAGCAAAACATACGAACATGGATGTTTGGCAACTGTTATTGGTTGCATCCTTGAGAAGGTCAGTCGTTAACCTAAAAGCATCTTGATTGGTCAAATAAGTTTCGTATCCTCGATTACACAAAGTAATTATCAAAGAAGGCACCAAGCCGGGAAGGCTATGTAGCACCATCAAATGTGTGGAATAATCAGAGGGCGCTAAATATCACTTAAGATGTCAATTAGAGAAACGCATAAGGCGAATGATATCAAAAGTATCTGATTCACCAAGAATTCTATTGAGGGACGGTCAAAAAGCAAGACACGCGTCCTGGAAGTTGGGACAGTCAACAAGGATATGCACAACTGTAAGAGGAACAATGCAGTTAGGACAGTAAGCAGCAGGGCTGCACTCCATTAATTTGTCCACGAGTTAAGCATGTATGGCCAATACACAACCTTGCTAGAGCAATTTCCCACCGCCGGTTATGGTGGTAGGAGGAAGGTCATGGGGAGACACTATTCTTAAGAGTGCACAGTTTGTTACCAGTAACAAGACCAACAACCCTGCCAACAGGCAAAGATGGAAAAATGAATAACTGGGTAAAAGTCGGAATAGGTTTGTGGGGGGCTTTGGAGGAGAAGGTGGGAATGTATGAGGGAGTCGGGGGGGGAGGTCGGGGAGGGGGGGTTGAACTGCCCGGAAAAAGTATAGAGTTCAACATTATAGGGTCAAGACAGGATTAGTGCTTCCTAGTTGCACTTGCCAATCACTGACTTAATTAACAGTGTCTGCGGGGGTGATGGCCTGCCGGGTTGTTCCTTGCCATTACCTCTCGTTGCTTTGCGTTCTTGGATACGTCTGGTCTTGACGTTGTCGAAGGCTGTGTGGTCTATGATGGAAAAGGGACAGGAGAGTGTGTTATGGTGGAAGAGAAGGCGGTTTGTTATGGTTTGGGCTTAAAGCCCATCAACCTCTGGAGAATCATTTAGCCCATAAAAACAGCGCAGTGACCAACCAGTAAAGTACACTTTAGTACACCTGAACATAGTCCAAGAGTGTAAGTAAAGTCTCGGTGTATATACTGCGAAAAAAAGGTTTCTGTTGCGCAGTCTTCAACGACGTCGACTCACAACTTAGGGTCCCAAGTTCGATCCCAGGGCAGGACAGAGACCGGTGGTCATGATTCCTTTCACCAGAAAGGTCTGCTCACCTTGCAGAAAATAGGTAACTGGGAGACGAACAACGGTATGGGTTGTATCCTGGGAAAGTCAGTGTATATATATATGGCCTAAGAGGAACCCTCCTATATGCTAAAACACATCTGGCTTCCTGTTCTGGATAACGGGAAGCTCTCGGGGGGTGAGCATGGGGGTGGCGACCTGTGTTGTGACCGGAGGCGAGGAGGTCAGGTATATTACCCGGGAGGAAGAACTGAGGCCTCCACTTCGCCACTGGACGAGGATCTGTCAAGAACGGTAAGCTGCTCCCTCCCGCTCTGTCGTTATCTCACACACACCGCAGCCCGTTCTAGTGAGCGTTCATAACGCTCTGTTAAAACTGTTGTACTAAAGTGCCTTGTTCTACAATCCGTCCTCCTAAGGTTTCACCATGAAAAGAAAACGGTTAATTTAAAGTGTCTTTTTCCTAACGTAAGAGACCAAGCCAGGGAACCCAAAACAGAAAACTGGAAAGTACGTCACTTTCGTGAGCCGCTTTCATTTTCTAGTACGATAATTTTTAGCCTTACTAACGCATACGAGCGAAAAGCGACGTTCTTTGTGGGCGGACATGTTGTTTCCTAACCTACCAGCGGATCCACGAACGGAAAACTGGACATTATGTCAACTTTCTCGAATCGCTACCATTTTCTAGCACGACAGTTTTTAGCCTTTAGTAAACTATACGTCAAAATGCACCGAGAGGAGAACGAGTTGCTTTTTTCTGTATAACCAAAGGTCTCTCCCCGCAATGGGAAGACTTACCACAGTACCTGTTACTTTACTGTAAACTTATATATTACCTTATGCAAGAACAATCACAAAAATACGCGATTCAGGTATACGGAATTAACCACACAGGAGAAAAGCCGAAAATAATTCCAGCGCTTTCGTTTCATTACTCATATGTGGATATACTTGTGTATATCACCTTATACATGTATTAATCACCGTATACATGTATTTATCACCTTATACATGTATTAATCACCGTATACATGTATTTATCACCTTATACATGTATTCATTCCGAATACGCGTCGTCGTCTGGCGAGTTATGTGAAGATGGAGCCCCATGAGTCAGGCGGTGATGATATCCTGTGAGGTTATTTGCCAGATATGTTATCTCAGAACTCACACCTGGCAATGTGTTATCTCAGAGCTCATGTCTAGCAATGTGTTATCTCAGAGCTAACATCTCGCAATGTGTTATCTCAGAGCTCATATCTGGCAATGTGTTATCTCAGAGCTCATCTCTGCCAATGTGTTATCTCAGAGCTCATGTCACCTTACCTTGAGGTTACCTTGAGGTGCTTCCGGGGCTTAGTGTCCCCGCGGCCCGCTCGTCGACCAGGCTTCCTGGTTGCTGGACTGATCAACCAGGCTGTTAGACGCGGCTGCTCGCAGCCTGACATTCTGGCATTCCTAGACAATAACTTGGATTTTTGTTGACATAATCTCCCAGAATTATCATGTGGCATAACCCCACTCTCTCAGTGAAAACTGAAAATCTATTTTTAGTGATAATTTGACTATAAAAATCTGCTTTATTAGAGAACGGATGATACAAGCAATGAATTTTTACCCATTATTATCTTTAGAACATATTATATTATTTGTAAAATATTTTAAAATTCAAACTATTTGTACATATTATGGGGAAGGTCGCTTAAAATGTTTCGTCTCCCTTCCTGCGTCTGTCTGTCTCTCTGTCTGTCTGCCTGTCTGTCTATTGGGCTCTATCATATCTACACTTGAAACTGTGTATGGAGTCAGCCTCCACCACATCACTTCCTAATGCATTTTTGGTGTCTGTCCTTAGGAGGGTACAGGAGTAGACGACTTCTGTCTCTCCCGTTAGCAGCCTTAAGAGCTCTCCCTATCCCTGGAACACGACCTGTCATACTCTTTCTTAGTACGTGTTATACTTTGACACGTACTTTTTCTGACCCAGCCTGGCTGTCTTGGAGGACAAGCCTAGTGTGCTCAAGAAGCCTAATGTGCTCAAGGAGAAGCCTAGTGCCTTTGTGGAGGATCACCCTATTATCGTGCTGGATGAGAATCAACCCAGTACGTTGGAGTAGTGTTGTAATTGTGTATTAAGGACTAGAATTATACCTAATAAAGAGGTCGCGATGGTTTACAGATGATGTGGAGAAGCGCAGCATTGGTGGTGGTGATGCTGGTTGCCATGTCAACGGTTGCCATGGCAGCTGTTGTCGGACCCAAGTGTAAGTATCTCCATGGTTACAGTTACCATGACAACACTGATATCAAGATATAAATGTTCTAATGGAAGGCATCAGGATATCATAATTAATTTTGAATCTAAAATAAGTTTGGGCCGAGAGAAAAATGTATATATGAATGCAAGGTCCAACGTGCGCTCTCGCAGCTTTAAGAATATATTTATTCGTGTTAAAGTTAACATTAAGCCCCAGAGAGAGAGATGACCTGGAGAGATAATGAGTTGAACCAACATGTTAGTCTCCTTCCCTCCACAACAGACCCCCGCTACCCGGACAACATCGTACAGCCTAGGGTGAACTGCTCTAAGGAAGGCGTCTTCCCTCATCCTAGAAACTGCAGCTGGTTCTACAGGTGAGTGTATCTGTGTGGTGAACAACTGCAGTGAGTGATCAGTGTATCTGTGTGTGGTGAGTCTCTGAGACTACTACAGTAAGTGGTCAGTGTCTCTGTGTGGTGAACACCTGCAGTGAGTGATCAGTGTATCTGTGTGTGGTGAGTCTCTGAGACTACTACAGTAAGTGGTCAGTGTCTCTGTGTGGTGAACACCTGCAGTGAGTGATCGGTGTATCTGTGTGGTGAGTCCCTGGCATAACTACAGTAAGTGGGTCAGTGTCTCTTGGTGATCCATGCGGGTGAGTCTCGTTCACGTGAGTCTGTCAGGTAACTGATGAATAATATAAACAAAAGATTTAAATTCGTGGATGGAGGTGGCTTTCACAACTTCCTTTAGTACTCTTCACTTGTTGACTACCTGTACAAGTTACTAGTATGACCTTACTGATGTCTTCTCCTACCTTCTCTCAATTTAAAAATAATGTGACCATCTTGTCAATTCCCCCCCAGTATGTTGTATGTTGTGATCATGTCTAATCTCTTTCTTCTCTCATCCAGAGTTGTCAGGTCTATTCCCCTCAACTTATTCTTACAGTTAAGCCATCTTAGCTTTGACACTAATCTTCTTGCAAACATCTGTAATTTTTCAATATTGGTTTTATGCTTCACTAGATGCGAAGTCCAAGCCGGTGCTGCATACTCCAATATTGGTCTGTCTAAGGTTGTGAAGATCGTGTGTGTGTGTGTGTGTGTGTGTGTGTGTGTGTGTGTGTGTGTGTGTGTGTGTGTGTGTGTGTGTGTGTGTGTGTGTGTGTGTGTGTGTGCCCTGGTCGTCCGAGGTCCACCAGGCCCCAGACGACCTCTGGGGTCCACCAGGGCCCAGACGACCTCTGGGGTCCGCCAGGGCCCAGACGACCTCTGGGGTCCGCCAGGGCCCAGACGACCTAACCACGTCCGTCTCTCTCTGGCCAGGTGTGTGGACAGGATGAAGGTGGGCTTCTACAACACCTACCTGTTCGAGTGTGGCCCCGGCACCGTCTTCGCCGACGGCCTCGACCAGTGTGTCTTCCCCTTCATGACGGCGCCTCCTTGTGGCACCGGAACCGGAGTGCCACCCATTACATTACCTACACCTAGACCCACAGTACCTACAACTACACCCACAGTACCTACACCTACACCCACAGTACCTACACCTAGACCCACACCACCTACACCTAGACCCACACCACCTACACCTAGACCCACACCACCTACACCTAGACCCACACCACCTACACCTACACCCACAGTAACTACAACTACCACTACATCTACAAGTCCAGGTATACAGTGCGCGTTCAGAGACACGAGCTGTCAGACGTACCAGGTGTGTCAGCCCACCAGAGCCACCAAGACGCTGTGTAACACCTGCTACGTGGCCAATACTATCCCCATCCAGGCCAGCGACATCTGCGGGGCCGAACAGCTCATTGACAAGGCCCTCAACCAGTGTGTCCCTCGCCCTAAAGGTATGTGTGTGTGTGTGAGAATATTCCTCTTTCCTTTCTCTGAATTTGTGGCATTCAGGATACCTTTATGAACATTTCTCTTCTGCCATTTGAAAGGAATTATTTCCCCGTCTTATACCGGGTTATAAATACATATGAAGATTAAACATGGATCGCAAATTTGCAGATGCAGATCAGTCCTTCAATCGGCAGATTGATTAATGTTGCTGTTCGAGATTATATATATATATATATATATATATATATATATATATATATATATATATATATATATATATATATATATATATATATATATATATATATATATGTGACAATGTCAGACCACGGAGGAAAATGAAACAGGAATTTCCTTAAGTACTTTCGTATATTAAATACATCTTCAGAAGGTCACCCGACCTTCTGAAGATGTATTTAATATACGAAAGTACTTAAGGAAATTCCTGTTTCATTTTCCTCCGTGGTCTGACATTGTCATATATATATATATATATATATATATATATATATATATATATACATATATATATATATATATATATATATATATATATATATATATATATATATATATATATGTATGTCGTAACTAGTAGCCAGAACGCACTTCTCGGCCTACTATGCAAGGTCCGATTTGCCTAATACGCCAAGTTTTCCAGAGTTTCAATATTTTTACCTATCCTAACCTAACCTAAACTAACATAACTAAATCAATAATTTATGTTCTTAGTATAATGTCCATTATACTTATAGTTCTTAGTAATGTTTAATACTGTCGAATGATTTATACATATTGGAAAGGAAGAAGAGTTCATTTTTCAATGATGATAGTACTTTTGCAAAGTCATGGTGCTAATCTTGCATGGACACTTAGCCATCTCATTAACTGTAAGATCAACACCTCTGTGTACGTAATTCCCAAACTATATAAATCAGGAGCATAAACCTACATAATGAAATCAATAGAGTTTGATATATTTACGAGAAAACCTTTGGAGCAGTCCGAAGGACTCAATTGACTGACTAATGAAGATTATGCCACCACAAGAGGTGGCACGGGCATGAGTAGCCCGTAAAAGTGGTAAATGTTTGGCGAGAATGTGATCTTTAGTCGTGAATGGTCACAATCGGTGTCCCCGACGGACTCGAACTCGCGTCCATGAGCCTCTTCGATTATCTCTAACTGTTCTCCCTCCTCCCTCTCTTTCTTCAACCAGCGACAGACCTGTGTCCGGCGCCCACGACTCCTCCTCCGACAGTGCCCATCACCTCCACCAACGTGCTCAGATGCTCAGACCAGCAGACTAGACCCAAGGAGGATTGGATCGTCAATCGGTACTGTCAAGTGTTCGCCCTGTGCGACGCCAATAAGACGTTTAAGGTAAGACTGTTGCATTCAGAAATCGTCCTTGTGTACGCCGTCGGCTTCCTAGATTATAAGAATTAGCATCTTTGTCTTTAATCGAACCCCAACCAGGCCAAGCGAGTCTCTAAATTTGCCCAGTCAGCCTCTCAATGTGCTCGATCAACCCTTAAGTTTGTCCAGTCAATCCTCCAAACTTTTGAACTCCGTCTGACCTCTTAAGTTAAAATCTATTAAGTCACCTCTCCGTTGTATCCAGTCACTCCTCTAAGCCGCTCACTCGACTCTCAAATTTGCTTACTAAACCATCCAATTGGTCCCTCACACCAAAACCTTACTAATCAACCTTTCCAGTGACTAAGCCAACCTTCCAACACACACAGAGATCACACTAACGTGATGCATCAAATGAACAAATCAGTGTCTGGCAGTGTCTGGGATGCTCCCGGCAGTATCTGGGATGCTCCCGGACGCAGGTTCGAATCCTCGTCACGGCCCTTGTGGATTTGTCCAACCTTCCAATCTACTGAATTATCTGAACAAGTGTGAAACTGACTTCTCTCGTCTAAACAACACTTCCTTCCAAACCCTTCCCCACACAACTCCCTAAAATACTCCCAAATCCCTAATAACTCCCAAATCCACTCTTAATACAAGACCTAATTAAATTACTCAGATTACACCAAATTGGAATTGAATTTGTCAATAAAAATGTCAAAAATAATAATACCCTCGTCCTCGTCCTCGTCCTCAGGGTCGTCAAGAACTGTGCACCAACTACTACCAGTGTAACAAGAACCCCAACGGGTCGTGGAGCTTCGAGCTGAGAAACTGTCTCCCCCCATTAATGTACAGCTTCACTACTGACAGCTGTGTCCCCCGTCCATCAGGTGAGCTGAATAATATATATACACAAATAATGAAATAAAAATAC